GGTCTTTATGGACGACGTTTCAATTAAAGGAAAAAAGTTTGTTTTAACCGAAAGTTCACTATAACCGGGTTCATTATAAGCGGACTTTACTGTATGTTGAAAAAGTACCAATTTTAAGTACAAATATGTATGTTTTAGTATTTCCACTATTAATTTTAATATTCCAATAAGCAATTTCATGCCGAAACCGGACTCCAACATATTAGTTCTCATAAAGCAGACATGTAAGTACCTACTTTGGACAGTGTTAACGTTGAACGGTTTATAAAAGTTCGAAATATCCACTAAGGGAAACTTCAAGTCCACAACTAACTTCTCTTTTGAACTTTAAAGCCCAACGGTTATGAGCAAAATTTTTGGACTTCAAAAATGGAAATGCTGTGAGCTCATAAACACCTTGCAACTGAATGATTTTTGCCACATTAATTAACTTTTGTTGAATCTTTTAATGCTCATGGCTAGTATTTTTGCTTTTCTGGCCAAAAAGCTTGGTTATACAGAAAAAACACAATGCCCCTGTTCGCTCATAACTGAAAAAATGTGGGTTTACCATAAATACAACTTACATTAATGAATTCTACATGCATTGAAAATGTTTTCATATAAACTCACAAAAGTAACAGAGCTTTTCCAAAATTTTACTCATAAAAACTGAGGCTTAAACATTGATATCACTTCCCGGATATTGTTTTTGCAAGCAACGGACTTCTTTTCATGAAGCAATATATCAAATGTGTTTACCGATTATCCCCTTATTTTAAGTATGAAGAAGAATGAGGTTTTGAAATAGATAATGTATTCTGTACTACATTTACTGATCGAAAACTATTCAATAAGAAAAATTGAAGTGTTCCTTAGAGAAATAAAAGCGAGTATGTAAATTTGGCACTTTACGTATAGGTAGGTAAATACGAAATGCTTTGAAAGAATATCGGCGCCAGCTGAACAAGGAAACTTCTTTTGGGAAAGAAATTTTTTTAGCCAAGGAGACACTAATGAATCCTCTAGAATATTTTTGTCAAGGAGAACTGTTGGCACTTAAAACCACCAAATGCGTAACGATTATACGTACTTGTGTGCTGTCTGTGATTAAATTAATGAAACAGCAGATAACAAGCTGAGCAAATCTGTAATCGTCTTAAATATGTCGAGATCATGTAAATATCACATTGGGAAATATTTCGTGCGTACTCAAAATTTACCCAACTGGGCCCAAGCACATTTTTGATCATTGATATCGAGCAGACTGAATATCCATCGGACAAACAAGTCATTTAAAAACAAAACACACGTTCAGCAGTGTTTTACATGTAAAGCAAGCAACTAGATAGAGGCGAACATTGTTTTTAGTTCTAAAGAACATCGAGTCAAGAAAAATTTGAAAATGTAATTCTGGGAAACTTTCCATTGTTGATTTCAACCCAGTCATTCTTGTCTGGTTGAAAGATYGGGGCTACATTTTACGTGTATGCAGTTAGYAGTTAATCCATTTCCCATGAATTTGTYGTAAAAGTGRAACTGAGTCCACAAATTACCAATCGTGAAAAATKTTCTGTAAGTTTTCGAACTGATCAWTCAAAAATTTTAGGATTCAAAAACATACTGGAAAGTGTGTAGAAAATGCCCCAAAAATTTCGTCGCATAGGCAAAGGCGGGCAACGAATTCTATGGCTCAAATGCAACTCAAAAAAAAAACCACCCAAAACTAAAACTTCTTGAATTCAAGCSTTTTTTCAGAAAAYTGCCAACATTTCCCCATCCACGATTCAYTTTCTAAAAAGGCCATTTGTTTCTGTCTTGAATGATGTACAAATGTACCGGAAAACATACCGGAAAAARCGTACCGGAAAACATGAAATTTTGTCATAATCTTGAACCTAAGTGTTTGATATTCAAATTTCGCTTTCTGGGCCAAAACTATWCGAATTTCCTYACTCACGTTGTTACGACTGAATSGASTTTTCAATTCTSTATCCAACGATGCCAAAACGAATTCTGTGGCTCGAAYGGTTCTTGAGAAACTTCGAATAAAGGCCATTTAGTTCTCTTTGGAATGATGTAAAAACGAGCGTTCTTGCTCATTTTCTTCCGAGAAACATGCAAAACGGGACGGAAAACATGAAATTTTGCAATATTCTTGCCCACCCTTACACAAAACGACGATCATTTTTCTAATTTCATAGATAACAGATGACTGTATTTTTTCTACATACCCCCCTGACTTTAAAGCTGGATCCGCCCCTGCGCATAGGGGCCTTTGAAAGATCTCCAGACATGGTTTCCAATATCTTCCACTCTTTTAGCCCTTAAACCATAAAAATTTATATTCTTGGACAAAGAACAAGGATTCTTGGAATTATATGAAAAAAACTCGCGGAAAGATCTCGCAAACAAGAAAGTTTCAGAGTTTCAAAGCTGAATTCAAGACGAGGTTCAGGCCTGTGGCCTCTTCAAGAGGCATTTTTTCGAGTATGGTTGCAAGAACTTTTAAAACTATTTTCTGAATCACCTCCCAAAACATTTCGGCGTTATTTCCTATACTCCCACTGAAACCACGGTTTAAGAACGCGACCCTAAATTATGTTACCTGAAAAACGAAACGTGACCCACATAGAACACCAATTGAATACCCACCTTTCCTTCAGCAAGCCAAGATGATGGCAGCCGCTGGGTGGATATGATAATTCTTTGATAAAATACATATAAAATGTAGGTTCTGGCACAATTGAAATGCTGAATATCACATGTACTTGCCGCTCAGCCTCTCCTTACTCTACATGACCCGATCAATCGCTTCCATGTTCCGACCTGACATGTTATTTACAATAAAAACACTACATCGAACAAATTAAAATAAAAATAGAAAACAGTCGCCATTTTCAGGTCGGGTAGTCGTTGTTGTACGAGACCTCGCGGTCCAGATGAGAGAGACGAAATATAAAGGAACGCTATAGAGCGGTACACGAAATCGTCCGCACTTAGATGCCGCGTTCCGTTCAGGTCGCCTACGTCTGCTATGTGAGGCCGGTTTTTTCGTTGCAACGTAGCGCGATTCTATCGTCGGAAATAGTTGCTGTGTTGCCGCGCCGCTCAAATGTATGTATCTGGGATATTTCAGCCAGCTATTGCTCAGTTTAATTGCTGCAGTTCGAACAGCTACTACAGGCTTAGCAAGTACTGGCTGGAGTGCGAGAGTTTCTTGAAGCTTTGTTTGTAAGCAGATGGAGATTTTTTCGAAAAAGGATGCTTTTTAGTAAAAGCGGGAATTAAGTCCAGTTCGAGGTCTAAAATCGAAAATATTTCAAGATGAAAAAAATTTCAAAATCCTGATAATGCAGAGGAAAATCTGCGAAACGCGATTTGCAAAATGTTTACTATTAAAACTTTTGAGATTTTTGCCTCAAACTTAACTGACTTAAAAATAACTGGAAAACTGTGGCAAATGCGAATAAACGCCAAGAGACAAGAACGTTCCCAAATTGAAAAAGGCATCGAAAACCGTCGGAAATAGTAAAGGTTTTTCACCCAGCCTTAAACGAAAGAGAAATTATTGAGTGCAAATTTTTGGATACCGATATTTTTGGCTAATCCAAGTAAAACATCGAAAAACTATCTATCTGCACGAAAAACGATATCGAATGTCGAGTTCTAGGATAGCTGTTTTGTAAGTGCGGCAACAGCGCATTTGGCAATCGAGGAGCAGCGTAGAATGGCGATTTGGCCCCGCGTCACCAGTTCGTTGAGTGAACAGACCCTACTGAAGTGAAAAAAGGCACCCGAAACGGGGGCAAAAAGTGCAAAAATTATTGGAAACATTTCAGGTTTTTAGTGCGAGTACGACGAAAAATCAGTGCCGGGGAAAATCTGTGATGTGAGGTGCAAAATCAGTGTGGTGGCTATCGAGGGCAACCCGGAGGGAAGTGCGACAAGATGAGAGCGAAAAGGCTGTGGTTTTGTGTGAAATAGTGTTTTTAGTGCGCCAACAAACAACGTTTCCTCAATGTGGAGTTTAGGGCACGATGGTCAGAGAGACTAGACACTTGTGGGTAGGAAATTTACCCGAGAATATAAGAGAAGATCGCATAAGGGAACACTTCAAAAGGTAACTATCACCAGCCACTCAATGTTGAACAAACGGCGGCAACGTTTTGCCCTTTGTAAACGTTCTATAGTGTTGAATGCATACAAACTTGTCCATGTTTCTTAAGTGAATACTCCTGTACTTGTACAATATGGGTAAGTATTCGCAAACCGATTGGATGCATATGGAGCTGTCCAGGGGGCCCGAAATTCCCGCCCTTTGAGCATATGTCAATAGCACCTAATCTTACAACTATGGAACATTGATACAATTATCTCAGTTGTCAAACGATGAAAATAATAAACTAGATAAATCTGATGAAATTATTTTGCTAATTCCTCAGGACTCCCAACGCAAAAGTTTCATCATATAAACAACGTGAAACTTGCCTTGGTTATATTTTCACGCCACTCGAACTCCCTATTGACCATAAAACTGCCGCTTTTTGTATCCAAATTGGCGTAGTTGAACACAGAAAACCTCCCAATTATTAAATGCGCATTTTATTCTCCAAATAGTCCAGTCCACACTGCTAGTCGGCTGTTAAGATGGCTGCGCCAGGTTGTCAGACGGAAAATCGCGTTTTTTTCGTTAAAATCGCACTACACAGCAGGAAAATGGCACAAAAACGTCCAGCAAAACTTCTATTTCCAGAAAATCGACTTTTTTCTACCCGGAAGTCGAAAAGGTATGAAAATTTTCGAAATATTGACGGAGCAAATGGCAGGCACTATTTTCCATCCACCAGTAAACAATGGACTGTAACGAAATGGCAGGGTTATTGACGTGTTTGTGAAAGTTTGCAACCAGATAAACAAGGCAAAACACGAATTTTTTGCTTCCAATGGGCGTTTTTTCAGCTTTTCCTGTTATTAAAGAAACACTCGGTATATCAAACGCAGTTTTACAGTTTAGTATAATGTATACTTCATAGGTAAACTGAATGAAATATTGAAAGTGTGTATAATTCCCCATTTAAGTATTTGCTTCACCTCAAAATGTCGAGGTTAAAATAATAAATTCAAATACAGACTGTTTACTGTTCCATATAATGATGAATGCAAAAATCCTTAATTTATATGAAGGTACATGAACGCCAGCAAACACCTAATCTTTGTAGTAGGTAACACTCGGTAACTTGAACGAAAAATTCCATTTTTCATTTAGATTCTGAATAGTTTGTTTCGAGTTTTCCCCAACTTTTAAGTACTTAATTATATGGTTACCTTAGCCAGTTTTGCTGGGTAAAAAAGCTGACTTAAATCACTTAATGTCCAAGGCCTAAATTCTAATGGCCAATAAATAATTCCTTAAAAAAATCAGGCATTAACAGGAAAATTTCTAGCATTCCAAAATGTCCTTTTTTTAAATTATTGTTATTATTTATTGAGGATTTATACAGATTTATTGAGAACAAAGTTGATAGAAATCTAACTGCAAATAGCTTTATTACTAAAATAGACGTTTATACATACGTAGACGTAAATGTTAGTAGTCAACTTACCGAAACTGTGAGAGGTTGCTTAAAACATAAATTTGGATCAATAATTCATATTAAGTTAAGTTATACTTTTGGGATGTTGATATTTTAAAACATTTTTTTTATAATGTTTGTTTATCTTTGAATTCTTTGTTTGTCTGCAGTCAAAATTCCGATTAGACTCTTATTAGAATTTCTCATATTCAATCTTTGTTGCCTTATTATGTAGAGAAGAAATGGGAAATATTTTAAAAGTAATTAACTTTGGCATTCCAAACCCTGCCAAAAAAAGTAAAAATTAGAGTTTTAGTAAGTACAGTTTCAATGGCGAGTTTCCATTATATCGAGCAGACAAAACAACAGTATTTTTTGCAAAAGTGGCATTGTTTTCACGATATTAAAGAGTGAAGAGAATTGAAACAGAAAATTGAAAAAGTACACATGAAAAATGTGAATGTTATAAATGGTTTTAACAAACAAATTCGCAATTTCTCACTTTTCACACTATAAGTGCGCAGTTTGCTGAAATAAAAGTAGAATTTTATAACACAAGCTTGTATTTGCACTATCAGCAAGTGATACATTAAATTGAAAACAAGAAGCAAATATGACGCACTAAACATTATACAGGGATTTTCAGAAGAAATGCTTATATGAATATAGACCCACAGATATTTTTTTAATACCTTGAAAAACGGGTTTTTGTAAATAAGTTCAGTATTTCTTCGTCCAAACTGTTGATATTTCGCCGTGGTATTTTCAGTACTAACGGGCTAATTTTGCGCTAAATAAGCTAAAATTATTAATCCCTGTGACGCCCCGGAGAACTACATGGTCGATATTTTAGACTACTAGAGAACAATGGGCGCTACAGATTTTGATGATTTTTTGTACTCTGCCGGATTAAGCAACTTCCAGTACATCTTTTTAGACTCAAAGTTTTTTCGTAATTCGCTTGGTTTATTAGATAAAAAATAAAAACCACTGCGTTCCATGTTCCTGAGGCAACACGTTTATCAATTGACTTTCCGCACAGATTAAAACTGTTCTTGATAAAACAAATACATGTAAAAACTATTAGATAAATTGATTATTTAACGCCCTGTGTTTAAACAGAAATAATTTCCGAACCTTTACTCATACAGATCAGTTTGGCTGCGGACCTAGATAACACCCTGTATACATTTGTGGAAAATTGAACCAAAGAAGCAACAAAAGCTTGCGTTACAATGAGAACAAACACCAGTAAAAATTTASATCAATCACATATCAATCAYAGGTTTTTTWAGGAAAAAATTACGCAAKAAKATTCGAAAATGCGTTTTTTTTTGTTAGAATCGTTTCTGATAATTGAAGAAAACTGAACTCATAATTAAATGAACAAAGTMCAAACAGGATTCTAAAACTCAGGACAGTACAWATGATTTTWAAATGAAACAAGTCAGACGACTGGAAAAGTCGACCGTTTTCATGCACCTGCACGGGAAATTTAAAATAACTCGAAAAATATCAACTTTTTCTAAAWTTGTCAGGACACACATTTTTACTTTAAAACTAGGCAGTTTCAGAATAAACATCTGAGAATGCCGACAAGTTGCCCTAATAAAAGATTCAACCTGTTATAGTGCAAGCTTTCCAAAATGAGTTGGTTTACACGCATGGTTGATGACACTCGTAATATTTTTGGTTGTGGAATATGCTCTTACAGTCAACTCTAAGAAGGTTCTAAGCGGGTTATGAAGAATTTTCTTCAAATAAGGACTGATTTTGCATTCAATCTTGTTAAGTAATAACCAATAGTCGAGGCACGTTTTCTGAAGTTGACGAATTTTCCAAGACAAAAAGTGGCCGATTTATTCAAGCTGCGAAACCTTTCTTCAGTGTTGATTTATTGAGTAATAAATTGGTTCGCCATGGAAATTCTAACTTCTCCCATAGAAGTTCGATAGGTTTCCCCGCAAGGGATTGAGCAGGACGGTTCAAGTCTGACCATAAAACATGAACAAGTTGTTCAGCTGGAAGCATTTCATATGTCCGATAGTGTTCACATAGTTGAGAGTGTTATTGCTTATGAATTTCATAATATCTTTTGGAAAAGTTGCTTGATCTTTGGGGCACTGCCCACAACCAAAAGCAGATTGTACCGAACTCGTAACACAATCAATGTGGTAATCATACAGGAACACACCTTGGCTTAGATGATAACCACGTAACTGTGAGTACCAACCGTAAATAAAAAACGGCAGGTGTCGCAATACCACACTGTTCGAAATGAAAATAGAAACGAACGTTGCAAAATTTCAACGTGTATATTCTCCGCTCCTCGTCAGGTGCATTCACCTCTCCAATGGGGAAAAGTCGTCCATGGAAAAACATCATCAAAAACAACAGAACAATACGCTGCTGCTTCTGCTAGGCCAAGATAACTTACGTATTCATATGTAGCTCTTTACTAGTGCCAGCACTCGATTGGCTTCATCTCTCCTCTTGCATTGTATTTTAATTTGGCTTTGTTCTGTTTTTATCGGACGTTTCCCATGTACATTGTTGAAATATGTAATGCAATTTTTTGTTAACAAATAATAACACCTGGTGGTTTATTCGCTTCGTGTTAATGTTTCTTGTTAAACGCTGATGGCACCAAGAATCCTACCATTTTCTTGTAGGTAAAAACTCGGGAATTTTATACCTACAGTTCAAGGATCGCATGCCCTTTGTGTTCGATTTTGAGAAGAGAGTCTGTAAGATCAATGAGAGTTGCTTCGAAAAGCTGAAAATTTACGATTACAACTGCAAACTGTTCGTCTACTCGTATACCTGTATCAAGTCTCGACATCCAAACAATCGCCCAATATGGATGTGAAAACCGCACCGTCTTGTACGAGGTGTTACGGTTATCTGCCATTTCTTTGGATGGGCTAGACAATTTTTCTTGGATTTCCAGGTATGAGTGTGCCTCTAAGAAAGGGACGCTGGATACGGCTTTATTGACGAAGCGCGTTTAAACAGAAACACTGTACTTTTTGAAATTTTATTCGATTAGTAAATTTCAGAAACAATTTGCTGGCAAATCTCCAGCTCAATAGGAAAATGAATGCAAACAGAGAAATTTTCTAATGTAACGAAAGGTTAATTCCTGTCCTGTGTACTCGTAAGCATTTTCTTCTGGTTTAGTTTTAGACATTTTCGTGTGGAAAAAGTGTCGAAATAGCCAAAGTTTCTCATTTGATTGCGGAGAAGACGGCGTTGTAATTTTTGTGCGGGTTTAAATATGGTAATTTGCAATTCAACTAAGTTTGTGCTCGAGTTTTAGACGCTTCTTCTGTTCAAATGCGACCCGAAATTTCATTTCAAAGTATTTTTTTTTAATTGTCCAATTATCCTCTGGTCTTAAAATCCACAATATTCGTTGCTTTTTAATACCGGCTTTTGTAGTTGATATTCCAAAGTGGATTTCTGCGTCAAATTTGCAATTTTTCCTTAGTAGTGAAAGAAACACAAATTGAATTTCTGTTGAACTCTTAAGCACTAAAAATTTAAT